CTCTGTACTACATTGTCTTCCCCATGATACCCCCACATCATGTGTACTAATCATAATACCCCTCAATCCCCTTCTCCCTCCCTCCCTCCTCCCCACCTGCCCTTCCCCACCCCTCCCTTGATAACCGATAATCCCTTCTTGGAATTTGTGAGTCTCCTGTTGGTTTGTTCATTCAGTTTTGCTTCATTGTTATACTCCACAAATGAGGGAAATCATTTGGTATTTGTCTTTCTCTGCCTGACTTATTTCACTGAGCATAACACCCCCTAGCTCCATCCATGTTGTTGCAAATGGTAGGATTTGTTTCTTTCTTATGGCTGAATAGTATTCCATTGTGTATATGTACCATATCTTTATTCATTTATCTACTGATAGACACTTAGGTTGCTTCCAGATCTTGGCTATTGTAAATAGTGCTTCAGTAAAGATAGGAGTGCATATGTCTTTTTGAATCTGATAACTTGTTTTCATTGGGTAAATTCTAGGAGTGGAATTCCCAGGTCAAATGGTATTTCTATTTTTAGTTTTTTGAGGAACCTCCATATTGCTTTCCACGATGGTTGAACTAGTTTACATTCCCACCATCAGTGTAGGAGGGTGCCCCTTTCTCCGCAGCCTTGCCAGCGTTTGTTGTTTCTAGCCTTTGCAATGTTGGCCATTCTAACCGATGTGAGATGATATCTCATTGTGGTTTTAATTTGCATTTCACTGATAGTTAATGATGTGGAGCATCTTTTCATGTGTCTGTTGGTCATCTGAATTTCTTCTTTGGAGAATTGCCTGTTTATATCCTCCGCCCATTTTTTAATAAGGTTATTTGTTTTTTGGGTGTTTAGGTGTGTGAGTTCTTTATATATTTTGGATGTTTATCCCTTGTTGATATGTCATTTACAAATATATTCTCCCATATTGTAGGATGCCTTTTTGTTCTGCTGATGGTGTCCTTTGCTGTACAGAAGCTTTTCAGTTTGATGTAGTCCCATTTGTTCATTTATGCTTTTGTTTCTCTTGCCCGAGGAGATGCATTCTGCAAGAAGTTGCTCATGTTTATATTCAAGAGATTTTTGCCTATGTTTTCTTCTAAGACCTTTATGCTTTCATGACTTACATTCAGGTCTTTGATCCATTTTGAGTTTACTTTTGTGTATGGGGTTAGACAGTAATCCAGTTTCATTCTCCTACATGTAGCTGTCCAGTTTTGCCAACACCAGCTGTTGAAGAGGCTGTCATTTCTCCATTGTATGCCCGTGGCTCCTTTATTGTATATTAATTGACCATATATGCTTGGGTTTATATCTGGGCTCTCTAGTCTGTTCCATTGGTGTATGGGTCTGTTCTTGTGCCAGTACCAAATTGTTTTGAATACTGTAGCTTTGAGGTAGAGCTTGAAGTTTGGGAGAGTAATCCCCCCAGCTTTATTCTCCTTCTCAGTATTGCTTTGGCTATTCAGGGTCTTTTGTGGTTCCATATGAATTTTAGAACTGTTTTCTCTAGTCCATTGAAGAATGCTATTGGTATTTTGATAGGGATTGCATTGAATCTGTAGATTGCTTTGGGCAGGATGGCCATTTTGACAATATTAATTCTCCTATCCCTGAGCACAGGCTTATTTCCATTTATTGGTATCTTTAATTTCTCTCATGAGTGTCTTATAGTTTTCAGAGTATAGATCTTTCACTTCCTTCATTAGGTTTATTCCTAGGTATTTTATTCTTTTTGATGCAATTTTGAATGGAATTGCTTTCCTGATTTCTCTTTCTGCTAGTTCATTGTTAGTATATAGGATAGGAATGCAACAGATTTCTGTGTATTAATTTTGTATCCTGCAACTTTGCTGAATTCAGATATTAGATCTTGTAGTTTTGGAGTGGATTCTTTAGGTTTTTTTATGTACAATATCATGTCATCTGCAAACAGTGACAGTTTAACTTCTTCCTTACCAATCTGGATGCCTTTTATTTCTTTGTGTTGTCTGATTGCCATTCCTAGGACCTCCAGAACTATGTTGAATAAAAGTGGGAAGAGAGGGCGTCCTTGTCTTGTTCCCGATCTTAAAGGAAAAGCTTTCAGCTTCTCACTGTTATGTATGTTGTTGGCTGTGGGTTTGTCATGTATGGCCTTGATTATGTTGAGGTACTTGCCCTCTATACCCATTTTGTTGAGAGTTTTTATCATGAATCGATGTTGAATTTCGTCAAATGCTTTTTCAGCATTTATGGAGATGATCGTGTGGTTTTTGTTCTTTTTGTTGATGTGCTGGATGATGATGATGGATGTTTGAATGTTGTACCATCCTTGCATCCCTGGGATGAATCCCACTTGGTCATGATGGATGATCTTTTGATGTATTTTTGAATTCAGTTTGCTAATACTTTGTTGAGTATTTTTGGATCTATGTTCATCAGGGATATTGGTCTGTAATTTTCTTTTTTTGTGGTGTCTTTGCCTGGTTTTGGTATTAGAGTGATGCTGGCCTCATAGAATAACTTTGGAAGTATTTCCTTCTATTCTACTTTTTGGAAAACTTCAAAGAGAATGGGTATTAGGTCTTCACTAAATGTTTGATAAAATTCATTGGTGAAGCCATGTGGTCCAGAAGTTTTGTTCTTAGGTAGTTTTTGATTACCAGTTCAATTTCGTGCTGGTAATTGGTCTGTTCAGATTTTCTGTTTCTTTCTGGGTCGGCCTTGGAAGGTTGCATTTTTCTAGAAAGTTGTCCATTTCTTCTAGGTTCTCTAGTTTGTTAGCATATAATTTTTCGTAGTATTCTCTAATAATTCTTTGTATTTCTGTTGTGTCCATAGTGATTTTTCCATTCTCATTTCTGATTCTTTATTCTGTTTATGTGTGTAGATTATCTTTTTTTCTTGATAAGTCTGGCTGGGCGGTTATCTTTTTTGTTTATTTTCTCAAAGAACCAGCTTCTGCTTTCATTGATTCTTTGTATTGTTTTGTTCTTCTCGATTTTATTTATTTATGCTCTGATCTTTATTATGTCCCTCATTTTACTGACTTTGGGCTTCATTTGTTCTTTTTCTAGTTTTATTAATTGTGAGTTTAGACTGTTCATATGGGATTGTTCTTCTTTCCTGAGGTAGGCCTATATTGCAGTATACTTTCCTCTTAGCACGGCCTTCGCTGCGTCCCACAGATTTTTGTGGTGTTGAATTATTGTTGTCATTTGTCTCCATATATTGCTTAATCTCTGTTTTTATTTGGTCATTGATCCATTGGTTATTTAGGAGCATGTTGTTAAGTCTCCATGTGTTTGTAGGCTTTTCCATTTTCTTTTCATAATTTACTTCTAGTTTCATACCCTTGTGGTCTGAGAAGTTGGTTGGTAGAATTTCAATCTTTTTGAATTTACTGAGACTCTTTTTGTGGCCTAGTATATGATCTATTCTTTAAAATGTTCCATGTGCACTTGAGAAGAATGTGTATCCTGCTGCTTTTGGGTAGAGAGTTCTGTAGATGTCCATTAGGTCCATCTGTTCTAATGTGTTGTTCAATGCCTCTGTCTCTTTATTTTCTGTCTGGTTGATCTGTCCTTTGGAGTGAGTGGAGTGTTGAAGTCTCCTAGAATGAATGCATTGCATTCTATTTCCCTTTTTAATTCTGTTAGTATTTGTCTCACATATGTAAGTGCTCCTGTGTTGAGTGCATACATATTTATAATGGTTATATCCTCTTGTTGGACTGAGCCCTTTATCATTATGTAATGCCCATCCTTGTCTCTTATGACTTTCTTTGTTTTGAAGTCTATTTTGCTCAATACAAGTACTGCAACACCTGCTTTTTTCTCCCTATTAATTGCATGAAATATCTTTTTCCAGCCCTTCACTTTTAGTCTTGTGTATATGTCTTTGGGTTTGAAGTGAGTCTCTTGTAGGCAGCATATAGATGGGTCTTGTTTTTTTATTCAGGTGACTCTATGTCTTTTGATTGGTACATTGAGACCGTTACATTTAGGGTGATTATCGGTAGGTATGTACTTATTGCTATTGCAGGCTTTTAGATTCCTGGTTACCAAAGGTTCAAGGGTAACGTCCTTACTATCTAATAGTCGAATTTAACTCACTTAGTATGCTATTGCAAACACAATCTAAAGGTTCTTGATTTTTTTCCTCCTCCATTCTTTATATATTAGGTATCGTATTCTGTACTCTTTGTCTGTCCCTTGACTGACTTTGGGGCTAGTTGATTTGATTTTGCATCTGCTTAGTAATTAATTATTCTACTTTCTTTACTATGGTTTTATTTCCTCTGGTGACAGTTATTTAGCCTTAGGAACACTTCCATCTAGAGCAGTCCCTCCAAAATACAGTGTAGAGACAGTTTGTGTGAGGTAAATTCTCTTAGCTTTAGCTAATCTGGAAATTGTTTAATCCCTCCTTCAAATTTACATGATAATCTTGCCAGATAGAATATTCTTGTTTCAGGCCCTTCTGCTTCATTGCATTAAATATATCATGCCATTCCCTTCTGTTCTGTAATGTTTCTGTTGAGAAGTCTGATGATAGCCTGATGGGTTTTCCTTTGTATGCGATCTTTTTTCTCCCTCTGGCTGCTTTTAATAGTCTGTCTTTATCCTTGATCTTTGGCATTTTAATGATTATATGTCTTGGTGTTGCCTTCCTTCAGTCCCTTGTGTTGGGAGATCTGTGCACCTCCATGGCCTGAGAGACTATCTCTTTCCCCAGATTGGGGACGTTTTCACCAATTACCTCCTCCAAGACACTTTCTATCCCTTTGTCTCTCTTCTTCTGGTACTCCTATAATGTCAATATTGTTCCATTTGGATTGGTCACACAGGTCTCTTAATATTCTTTAATTCTTAGAGATCGTTTTTTCTCTCTGTGCCTCAGCTTCTCTAATTTCTGTTCCATTTACTGTCTCCTCTACTACATCTAATCTGCTTTTAAATCCCTCCATTGTATGTTTCATTTCAGGTACTGAATTCCTTAATGATTGAATCTCAGTCCTGAATTCGTCCCTGAGTTCTTGAATATTTTTATGAACCTCCAGGAGCATATTTATGAATTTTATTTTGAAATCTCTTTCAGGAAGATTGGTGAGTTCAGTTTCACTTGTCCATTTTTCTGGTGTTTGTGGGATTTTGGTTTGAACCAGGTTCCTTTGATGTTTCATACTTGTATGTGGTGCCCTGTAGTGCCCAGAAGCTCTACTCTCTGGAGCTGCTCAGCCCCTGGAGCAATGTCTGGGGTCACAGAGGAGCGGCGCTTGTGCCTGGGGGTAGAAAAGAGCTGTTTCCTGCTTCCTGGCTGCTGTGCCTGTCTCCACTGCCAGAACCAGTGGGCTGAGCACGCAGGTGTATGCCTCTATGCTTTGCATTTGTAGCTTATGCAGGGCTTCCCTCTGGCTGGCCTAATGCCAGAGCAGTGGCTGCGGGTTTGTGAGCCAGGTACAGGCTAGCCAGGAGGAAGACACAGCAGGCTGCATATCACAGTGGGGTCCTTGGAGCTGCACAGCCATCCAGGGGGATGGAGCACCTGAAGCTCCTGAAAGCTCCCAACATGCTGGGCACAGTGTGCCTAGACAATTCTGTCCACCTGTCCCTCACTCCTGAGCAGCAAGCTCTGTGCTGTATCTGCCCCTTTAGCAGCCCTCTTGCTGTTAGGAAGTCTCTCAGACTGCCTGCCTTTCTTTTGTCCCAGAGCACCCGGATGTGGATCTCTTGTTTTCCACAAGGGGCTGGAATCTCAGTTTCTCCAAGTATTCTGCTTGTCTTAGCTTTCCAACCCCACTAATCTCCAGTGCACCACGCAATGGAGGTTTGTGCTCCCAGATCAGATCTCCAGGGCTGGGTGTTCTGCAGTCCTGGGCCTCCATCCCCTCCCCGCTGTGTTTATCTTCCTCCTGCTGGTGAGCTGGGGTCGGGGAAGGACTTGGGTCCTGTCAGATCATGGCTTTGGTATGTTGCCCTGTTCCTGAGGTCTGTTCTTTCCTCTGGGTGTATGCAGTCTGGTGCAGCCTTCCTTCCTATTGTTCTTTCACAATTAGTTGTATTAACTATATTTTTGTATTATATGTGGTTTTCAGAGGAGGCCTCTGTCTCACATCTCACATCATCTTTCCATAATATACTTTTAAGGTCTAGATTATCTGTTTACTATGAAAGAATATAATTCAGTAACAGGCTGATGAAAGAAATGTGATACGACAAGATATGTCCTCTCCAGGCAGGCCAATTCCCACCTCTCCCTGTGCACTGACCCGGAAGCTCTCTGAACCCTGTCCTTTTGGTTCTTTATAGAGACTTCATTACACAGGCATGACTGATTAAATCCTTGGCCATTGGTGACTGACTCAGCCTCCAGCCCCTCTCCCCTCCCCTTAAGGTCAGTGGGTGGACTGCAAGCCCCCACCCTCAGGTGCCTTCCAGAAGTCACCTCAGTAACACAACTAGTGACACTTTTATCACTCCCAACACTTACGAAATTCCAAGGATTTGGGGAGCTTGTGAGCTAGAAACTATGGGAGAAGACCAAATATGTATGTGAAATATATTAATAGTCAAATGCTTTCCTGAGTTCTCAGAATTGTTCTAGCAAATTGCCAAAACAGGGAGGTGTCAAGGGAATCCATGGATTTGTAGATGGCTGGGTGGAAATGTTGGTAGCCAAGGCACCCCATTTATAGCTGGCATCTGAAGTGGGGGCAGTCTTGCTGGAGTGAGTGCTTAATCTGTGACTCTGATTCTAAGCCCAGGTAATACTGTATTGAACTGAATTATTAAGACACATAATTGGTGACATGGAGTTGAGGCAGTGGTGTTAGAGGAAAGCCACGTATTTGATGTCAGGAGGGAAAAAAAAAACTACCAATGTCACAAGTGCTGCTCCACCCCTCCCCTGCCTTTGGTGAGCCGGGAGGCTAGATGAGACTCAACTTGGGGATTTCTACCCGCTCAGGTCACTTAGGCTCCAGGAAAATCCAAGTCACTTGTGCTCTTGTAAAATTGATAATTTTGAGGACAGGCCTTGTTAAGAACAGAATATTCAGCATATATTTTTAAATGGCTATTTTTTGTCTGATTTTGGGGACAGCAGTTTCCCTGTGACCTCAGTTCTGTGATGGATCTAAGAAGGGTTCTTGATTTTGAGTCAGGTTTTTTCCTTGTGAGGACAGGAATTTTTCTTTGTGCTGACACTTAGGGTCCCTACCTGCCAGACAAGCTCTGTTTTTTGATGTTTGATGTTTGTCTTGGCAAACAGCCCCTGCCCTTGGGTGGGGTTAGGAGCCTACTCCTGTAACAAAACAAGATGCTCATTTAAACTTTCATCCCTTCTCATTCCCCCTTGTGCCTGGTGGTGATAAGGCCTTGTTGCTCACTCCTTTGGCTCTGGAAGAGATTCCTTCCGCAGAGTCCCCCACCCGTGTGCACAGACTCTAACCCAAGCCCACCCCCAACCTCAGGAAAAACCTAGGCAGGCTCCTTTCCTTGACTTTGCCAAGCATTTCCAGGGCTCAAGAGGCTGCCTTGCCTTCCCCAGCACTTCTGTTATGGAAGTCAGACCCTTTGATGCCCTGTGGGCATGGATGTAGTGTCACCAGCTTAGACTTTTTGAACCATATTTCAGGTGGGGTCCCCCTCTGCAGGTGACTATAGGAGTTATAGAAAGGTAGCACGGTGTGTTATTATAATTGCTTAATTATTCTATTGATGATCTTCCACATCTTTCCACATGAGGACATGTCACCCATTTTTTAAAAGTAAATATGGTAAGATTATGCAGCCAGTTTTGTTTTGTTTTAGCTCTTTTCAGTTTACTGTATGAAGGAGTTACATTAGTCCAAGTTAAAAGCAGACCCCCAATGGTTACATTATGCAAGCTGTAATGTTTTTAAACTTGCGGCAAGGGATATTTCCATCGCAAGGAAATCCTCACTAAAGTTTCAGGGAGCCCAAAGCACTGAAAACCCATGAAGTTTGAGCTGGTGGTCCTTAGCCAGTCCAGTATCCACCAGAAACTGGCATATGTTCTTGCACTGGTCACTGGTAGCTGAATTACTTCTCCATATTCTGGCTGCTCAATTACAGTACCGTCGCAGGCAAGTTTCTTAAATGCCTTCACTAGTTTCTTTTTATTGTAACCATTAGCGATCCTCTGGACAGTAGTAAGAGTCTCCCTGACATTTCTCTTTTGAATTCTTACGTAGATATAATGCTTAGTGCCAGCAAGAAGCAGATCATCACATTTACTTCCATCAGCAAAGAGGTGGAAAGAGTGGAGCTTCTGGACAGCAGACACACAGTGCAATTCCTTTTCCTCAGTGGGAACGGTCTTGGAAGGCCGTGGCAGGAGAAGGGAGGAGCATCGGGAAGTGAGGGGGCTAAAGGGAAAGGCTGCTGAGTCCTCGACAGTGGCTCAGCCACTGGGGCCTGTGGACAATTCTTTTAAAATAGAAACTTCTTAGCAGTTTTTGCAGCCAAAGTCTGTGAATTAAAACTCAAAAGATTGCCACATTGTGGGACAAACAGTAAAATTGCCTTCTCTACACTTAACTAATTAAATGTTTATCAAGTAAATACATTCAGGAAACAATGTACAACAGGTTTTGCTGGAAATTTAATAATAATAGTAATGCAAACATCTTTGTAATCAAGCTTTGTAAATGGATCTTGAGTGGTAGGTAGATTCTTCTGATCTTCCCACCCAACTCATCTCCCTTATGCACCGTATGTGTCCTCGGTCTTGATTCTTTAGTTACTCTCCATGCTTTGATTTAGGGCTTATTGTTTTTCTTATATGAGAAAATTCTCCCTATTTTTGGTTCATGAAGCATTTACCTGTGACTCCTAAAAGTGTCCTAGTTTTATCTTTAGCAATGAATTGGCTGTTATGGATGGAATAGAGGGGATACAAAGCATTTCCCAGATAACAGTTTGTCCCTGCCCATGTATTAGTGTTCATGATACCCGCCGCTGCTCTATAATGCCTGGTCTACCTGTGACTAACTTTCCGTATTAAATGTTGGTCCGTGGAAGACATTTTTGCCTTGGTCTGTTTGTTTTTCCATTAAGACTATATTTTCTGAAATACTATAGTTTGAAAATCCTTGACATACAGAGGCAATCCTCTACTTCTTTGGAAGACTTTGACCATTTTTTGACATTCTTTCCTACTATAAGGTTTTTCTTAACTCCTAAAAAGTCTGCTTTGTGACTTAATAGAATTTCATAAAGATAAACCCTGGGAGAGGACAAAGATACATGTTGGGAGAGGAAACATGAACACTGAACAAGACCATGTGCCAGTTTTCACTTAACTTCATTCTCCTTTGGTGTTATTCGGTTAAACTTTTAAATTTTTTCCATTAGGATCATTAAATATCATTCATTAGTCCTGTTTCATATCTGAATTTGTCTTGCAAGCTTCCAGATGTTCTTTCCTAGTGTACATTACATCAGGTGGACTCAATTCCCTAAGCACAAAGTTGTGACAACACATGTAAATTTTTATCTTCTCAGGAAGCTCATTGGAGACACAGTGCCCAGAGTGATTTGGGGGGACAGAGCACATGCTCAGACTCTCAGAACAAAAACAAGAGTTCAGGATATGTAACTTTTTTACATAAAGTCACTCTTATCAGTTAGGTTAGAGGGCGCCCACCCTCATAAATCCTGGTTCCTAGATACCAACGGGGGACAAACATTGTGAGCAAGCTAGGCCTGCTAATGTTAACGTTCTTCTTCACGGTAGATGATAGGACATTGTTATGAGCAGGCACTACAGATCCACTTTAGAAAGAGTAAGTAGAGCTCATTTTACCCCTTGGGCCCACCAAGAAGTGATTTCCTACTCTGTTCCTTAACCAAATGTGTAAATTCTACCACTAGAATTATGATGTGGGAGCCCTTTCTCTGTCTCTTGCACATAGCACATTAATAATCTTTTTCAGACACCAATGTGTAAGGGGATTATATGGCTAAGAGATTTCAATGCCTAGAGGTTGGGCTGTCATGTTCCTGTGACCCACGTGAGGGCACAGAAATGAGGGAAGTGAGAGAACAGCCTCTAGAAGTGATTCTCCACTACCTCCTGAAATTGAAGAAAGGAAGTTTTTTGTGCTGTTTTAGAGTAATTCACTACTGAACACTTCATGTGTGTTATACACATTCACTTCTGTCGTGGCTTTCAAAGAACTCCCTTGCAAATTGTTACATTGTTTGGTTCTTCAAGCTCAGCAAGGCCAAGGGTTCACTGTATGGTTCTGTCAGAAAGAGCTCTTCTAGAATCTTATCTCAGTAAATGTGTGTATATGTGCTAAAAACTGGTGAGAAGCAGCTCTGAGGCTCATAAGCATAAGGATTTTGTGGAGGTCTAACTTGTCTTTCTTCTGAGCTCTAGCTTCTGAGCTCTAATGTCCCATTAAATGGGACAGATAGAAAGGAATAACCAAGTATCTGACAAGTATTTTTAAAGACAAGTCAAAATTAATACTTCTCCACCAGAACATTTTCATTCCACCTGCGTCTAACTATTTCTGAGGGTCTGGAGTACTTCAGGACAATATGCCCAGCTTCCTAGTCACAAGTCAGATTTCCACAGGCCTCCTGGCCTCTCCTGTTTGGGAATGAAAATGTTTCTTTCATAGGTAATGGAAAGTCTTAAAATGGAAGTATATCTTTCATTTGTATAGCATTTCTCTCATTTTTTTGGACCCTACAGAGAATAGTAAGACTTGAAGTGAACATAGTAAAAATGTACAAGTAATTTTATGTGTTCATGATGCTGTTAAAATTATGAGGACGTGATTATGTATAGAAAGAATTCTGATAACCAAGTCATAGAATATTTTGCAATCACAGAGCCATACATGAACTTACTATGAATTGACTATAGATTCCTAGTATCTGTTTCACCCATCTTCTTGTATGCATATGTGGATGTTTTAGGATTCAATGAGTTTTGAAGATGTAGCTATAAACTTCAGCCTGGAGGAGTGGGCACTGCTGGATCCTTCTCAGAAGAAACTTTACAGAGATGTGATGCGGGAAACATTGAGGAACCTGGCCTCAGTAGGTAAGGATGCTATTACTTCACTTAATTAGATTGTGTTTCTTGCCTGATATGTTTTATAATTTGAAATGGGGAAAGGGATTTCTTTGGGGAAAAATTCAGGCATGGTCAGAGCTCATCATGGACCTTTAACGTAATAATTCTATAATTTAGTGATTTTTCTGGGTCTACATTTTAGGGAAAAAATGGGAAGACTGTAACATTGAAGATCAGTACAAAGAGCAGGGAAGAAATCTAAGGTGAGTTGCACTCACAGCAGAAAGAAGTATCTTACAAGGGTAGCTTTCTATGTCATAAAAATTTTTAAATCAAGAAGACAAAAGGCATCCCAGCTTCAGCTTCAAATGTTTTTTTTTCCAGAAAATCTTCATCAAAAATGTTTTCTTAAATGTGACATGTTCATCATTTGCCAAATAGTTCACTTAGAAATAGTATTCAGAAATTAATATATAAATATCAATGCCTTGATAATAGCTTATGGTTGTGCCCCTCTTGCAGAACATTCAGTATCTTCATTTTCAAACAACTCAGGGCAAAAAACCTATACTTTGCCTGTTATGGTAAGAATGTAATTTTAGTTTTTACTAAGAAATATAAAGCTATTAAATAAAAAATGTGCTGCTGATTTTATTTTTTACAGAAGTCGTATAGTAGAGAGACTCTGTGAAAATAAAGAAAGTAGTCAACATGGAGAAAACTTCAGCCAGATTCCAAATCATAATTTAAACAAGAAAACTTCTGAAGTAGTAAAACCATGGGAGTGCAATATGTGTGGAAAAGCCTTCATGCGGCATTCATCCCTTAATAGGCACAAAAGATCTCACACTCTGCCCAAACCATACAAGTATCAGGAATATGGAAAGAAGCCTTATAAATGTAAGGAATGTGGAAAAGCCTTCAGTTATCTCCAGCCTTTTCAAAAACATGAAAGAAATCACAGTATAGAGAAATCCTACAAATGTAAGGAATGTGGGAAATCTTTTAGGTATCGCCAATCTGTTAGAAAACATGAAAGGACTCACACTGGAGAGAAACCCTATCAGTGTAAACAATGTGGAAAAGCCTTTAGATATCATCAAACTTTTCAAACACATGAAAGAACTCACACAGGAGAGAAGCCCTATGAGTGTAAGCTCTGTGGTAAAGCCCTCAGTTGTCCCAGTTCCTTTCGAAGTCATGAAAGAACTCACACTGGAGAAAAACCGTACGAGTGTAAAAAGTGCAGTAAAGCCTTCAGTTGCCCCAGTTCTCTTCGAAAACATGAAAGAACTCATACTGGAGAGAAACCCTATGACTGTAAAGAATGTGGGAAAGCCTTCATTTCTCTCGGAAGTTTTCAAAGACATATGATAACGCACACTGGAGTTGGACCTTATAAATGTAAGGAATGTGGGAAAGCATTCAATTGTCCCAGTTCATATCGAATACATGAAAGATCTCACACTGGAGAAAAACCCTATGAATGTAAGCAATGTGGTAGAGCCTTCAGTTGTTCCAGTTCCTTTCGAACACATGAAAGAACTCACACTGGAGAAAAACCCTACCAATGTAAGGAATGTGGAAAACCCTTCCATTGGCTCACTACTTTTCAAGTCCATGTGCGAACTCACACTGGAGAGAAACCCTATATATGCAAGCAGTGTGGTAAAGCCCTCAGTTGTCCCACTTCTTTTCGAAGACATGAAAGGACTCACACTGCTGAGAAACCCTATGAATGTAAACAGTGTGGGAAAACCTTCAGTTCTCCCCTAGGTTTGCAAATACATGGAAGAACTCACACTGGAGAGAAACCCTACAAATGTGAGGAATGTGGGAAAGCATTCGTTTCTCTCACCAGTTTCCGAAGACACATGATGACACACACTGGAGATGGACCTTATAAATGTAAGGAATGTGGGAAAGCATTTAATTGTCCCAGTGCATTTCGAATACATGAAAGAACTCATACAGGGGAGAAACCCTATGAATGTAAAATATGTGGTAAAGCCTTCAGTTGTTCCAGTTATGTTCAAGTACATGAAAGAACTCATACTGGGGAGAAACCCTATGAATGTAAGGAGTGTGGGAAAGCCTTCATTTATCGCACAACCTTTCGAGGACACATGAGAATGCACACTGGAGAGAAGCCCTATAAATGTAAAGATTGTGGGAAAGCCTTTAGTCGACCCAGTTCATTTAGAAGCCATGAAAGAATTCACACTGGAGAGAAACTTCTTGAATGTAAGCATTGTGGAAAAGCCTTCAATTGGCCCACATCCTTACATAAACATGTGATGAGAATGCACCCTCGATAGACAAATTATAACTCAGAAATACAGGGAAATTGTCAGTCTTAGCAAATATAGTCATGTGAAAACACAACTAGAGAGAAGTGCTATAAATGTAAGTAATACAGGAAAATCTGATGCAAACCAATTCACATGTAGTATTCCAGAAAATTCTCATGAAATAAATGTATTAAAAAGTTAAAAACATACTGTCTTAGTCGGTGGTTGGTTCTGAAACTTAATCACTGGACCGTGGGTTCTGCTTGCTACTTTTCAAATGAACATTGAGTTGAGACAATTCTGTAAGTACTCTTTAGGCAGCTGTATTTAACCTTAGTAGATAGCATTTTTCCTTAAATCAGCTTACAAAATTGTCTGTTAAGATCTGTGGGTAAATTGAAGTCTATTTCTAATATGCAAGTAGGATTGATTTTTATACAGCTTTTTAATTGTCCTGTAAGTTAATGGGCCATAGAATATTGACAATTTGGTATTTGTTGGGATTTTCCTATTGGCCTCATGTGGCAGGTACTGGATATTCCTTACCCATTTATATATATTCTTCCTTTCTTGTAAGAAAAAGTTTTTCTTTTATCAGAAGAATTTTATTCCACTTTCCTTGCTAATAAATAGTTCTCATAAATTTGTAACTACAAAATGTTTATCACAGAATATAATCTCATTTGAATTGTTATTTACATCTTTTCCCTTCACTCTTTGTCATTCCCTCTGACTGTGATTTAGATAATAAGACTTTAACAGAAGAGACCTGTAATCAGACAAAAAAAAAAAAAAAGAAAAGAAAAATTGGAGATGGCTGTCCTGGAATGCGTTACGTCAGTATGGGTAATGTGACCAACATTTTCTAGAGCCTATTCTCTTTATAGTTCCATTTTCAAACTCACCAGGAGCCTCACCTGCATGAGTTTGGCAGGCAAAAGCAAAGAAGGCCTTAATTTTTGGAAGCATGGTACAGAGATAAATGCACAGGAGTTTCACATATATCCTTCTTCCAGCCCATTTTCCTGATTCTTTGCCCTGCCAGTCAAGAATATCATCAGTACCACTACCAACTACTTGACTTCCACTTTCTCAAGAGTTGTAAGTTTCCACAGATACCTCCTCAAGTCCCACAGCAAAGATGCAACACAGTTTGGATTTTCCTGCAGGCCATCATGTGTCCATCAGGCAACACATATGACTGCTAATGTTCTCTGAAGCGGTGAACCCCACATCTCTAGGTTGTATTCATATAAGATGTAATTTGTGTAGTAAATACCTTGTTCTGTTAATATTGCTAGTGAGTGTGTTCCTGACCCCACCAGCATAGCTACAATGCTGCAGTCAAAAGGAACCATGGTGTAGCTTGTTCCTCTTCTTTGCTGTGACGTCTGTGACCCAGGCTTCCATGTGAGAATAAGCACCTTCTTCATATCAAGCAGATTGTGGGTATTTATGATTTCATCAAAGCTAAAAATTCCTCAGTACACTTTCAATTATGTTGTATGTGATTAAAAAGTTCATATTTTTGTCAAATGCTTATGTAGATGTTGCTAGATATGTTTTATTAGCTGTTCCAGATACTGTATACTAACAAATGTTAATTTTTGCATTTCCTGATAAGGTATATTAAAATATCACATTGTAATTGTGGATTTTCAGATCAACTTATGATTTTATCACATCAGTCAATATAAATTCTGAGTTAATAATCACCTGTGCATACAAGTTCAAATTTTTTTTCCACAAACTTTAATCTTTTATTCTGTTAATACAGTGTTTGTCACGAAAGTAACTTTTTACCATTACCAAAAACTTATATCATGGTTTTGTCAGTGTCTTTTTGCCAGAGACTACCAGGTTGACGTCTGTAGTAGAGGGATGTGATGAACTGTAGTAATGAGGATGACCCCAAACCATAAATGACAGTGTACCAGTCTGTTCAGAAGGTCTTCCTTTTCAGAATTTGAACTTGTAAGAGTAATAGACGTTTATTCTCTTTTATACATTTTAAAACAGCCATGTATACAGGGAAATTGGAAACAAGCACACCCACAGACCCAGAGAAGACCCACACCCTGAAGAAGCCTAAGGAAACCTTAAGGCTTCCCGCCAGGCTCATAGTGTAGGTCTTCCCATGCATGGAGCCATCTGCAAAGAGTAGCATGGAGCCATCTGCAAAGAGTAGGGGATATGCCTGTTTTTTCAAATGCCCAGTTTTCAGCAACAGATCACAAAGCATACAAAGAAAATGGGAAACTTAAGGAAACAAAATGGTCCACTTAAAGGAATAAAATAAATTCTAAATCTCCAGAAAACATCTCTAAAGAAACAAGCTTAAAAGTGGACTTTGTCTATTAATTCTGAAAGCCATTTCTTTAGGGAGCTCCTCAAGACTTATTTTAAAGACTTAAACAGTAGTCTTAAAGAGCTGAAGAGTAAAACAGAACTAAAGTAAGCCAGGAAAACAACATATGAACAAGGAATTATGAAGGAAATTATTTTTAAAATAACCAGATTCTGGAGCTGAGACATACAAGAACTGAATTGAGAAATTCACTGGAGGGATCAATAGTAGACTTGAACAGGCAGGAAAAAAAAATCAGTGGACTTGAAAACAGGTCATTTGAAATAAGTCTGAAGAGCAGAAAAAATAAAGGAAAGTGAACAGATCAAGGAATTTAGGGGACAACCGTTAAGCCAAACAATATGCACATTTTGCGAGTCCCAGAAGGAGAATAGGGAAAGGAGCAGAGAATTTATTTGAAGAAATAATAGGTTTTTTTTCTGTTCTTTTGTCTGTTCCTGCTGGTACTCTGATTAGACATTTGTTAACGTACTTAGTGTTCCACATTTTCCAAAGGCTCCTTTCATTTTCCTTCATTGCTTTGCCTGTTTTCCGATTGCATAATCTCTACTCATCTGTATCTTCTCTTTGTTGATATTCTTGGCATGACATTACCATCATGCTTCTTTAAACATGGTTTCCCTTAGTTCTTTGAGCATTTTGATAATGGCTGCTTTGAAATCTTTGTCAAATCCATTGTCTAGATGCTCTCACAGGCAGTTTCTGTTTGCTTTTTTTTGTTTTTAGGTCACTCCTTTCTGTGTCTTTGCATGTGTCATAAAGTTTCAGTTGAAAGTTTGACACTCTAGATCATCTACTTTCCAGAGCTGCTGGTTCGTTCGGTGACTGACAGTGATGTCTGTTTTACCCACGTGCGGACCTCTGATCTTCCAGGGCGCAGCCGTGGGTGTGCTTCCCGTCACACTGGATGGCCGTTTCTGACAGTCTGTCATCAGCTGGTCAGACTGTTACTGCAGGCTGATTGCACTGTTGTTTGGTTTTGTTTTTTTTTATTAAGACATCTTTTTTTTTTCATCACTTATGCCTTTGTTCTCTTGTTTAAGAAATCATTGCTTAACCCACCATCACAAAGATTTTCTCCTAGGTTCCTAACAGTTTCTCATATTTAGTCTATAATCTGTATCAAAGTATTTTTTTCTATGGTTTGAGGTAGTGTCGATGTTCTTTTTTTTTTTTTTGTATCATTAATGTACAATTACATGAGCAACATTATGGTTACTAGATTCCCCCCACTGTCAAGTCCCCACCACATACCCCGTTACAGCCACTGTCCATCAGCGTAGTAAAATGCTATAGAGTCACTACTTGTCTTCTCTGTGCACCCCCCGCTACATTATACGTGCTATTCATAATGCCCCTTTTTCCCCTTCTCCCCCTCTTCCCCCCCCTCCCCCCCTCCACCAGTCCCTTTCCCTTTGGCAACTGTCAGTCCATTCTTGGGTTCTGTGATTCTGCTGCTGTTTTGTTCCTTCAGTTTTGCTTTGTTCTTATGCTCCACAGATGAGTGAAATCATGTGATACTTGTCTTTCTCCACCTGGCTTATTTCACTGAGCATAATACCTTCTAGCTCCATCCATGTTGTTGCAAATGGTGGGATTTTTTTCCTTCTTATGGCTGAATAATACTCCACTGTATTGCACTGCTGTTTTTTGTTGTTTTTTTTAGGAGAGCAAGGAACAGGCTTTTATTTAGTAATAAGGTGAGAGGAAAGAGCTCCTGACTCACACCAGGAGGGGACAAGAAAGCCCTGCACTGTTGATTTTGACAGTGCTCTAGGACATAAATTGCTCCAGAGTCTGACCCAGTTGAATTCCTGCTCCTTTGTAGACATAGTTTTCGAGCACAGGGTTTGAGGTTTGTTCTGATCCCAGCATGGCTTTCCTTCTCTCTCCCTGGTTGGTAGACCGGCTGGCCTACTTGTTTTGTTTGCTCTCATGCAGCCGCGAGCCTTCTCTTCATAGCTTAACCAAAACCTCCATTGTTTCTGAGAGTTCCCTTAGTCTTGAATTTCCACACATTTGTTTCAAACAAAGTCAGCTCCTTTGTAGAAAGTTTTGGAGCGGTCTGTTCTTAGAGACTGCGATTGCTTTTGCCTCTAAGCAAAATATTTGAGCCACAGCTCTTTGGCTGTGGGTGGAGACATTGGCCTGCTTCTTCGTAACCCCTGCTTTGAAAGGACACCAGGTGTGGGTGGAAGCCTCTGGTCTTGTTGGCTTGACTCTCATGGTGTAGAACTTAACACCCTATCAGTGAGCTTCGGCAAGGGTACCTGGGGCTCTGGTATTCCTGCTGTGCCATGCCTGAGGTGGGGTCTCCACCCTGTTGATGACAAGCCACTGGAGAAAATGAGTCCCTGAATTCCTCGCTTTGATCACCTGGAGTGAGCTTCTGTAATAAGGTAGCTGGGAGGGGATAAGAAATGCTAGTGTCTGCTTTTTCTAGAAAACAGCCTTGACAGAACCACGGGGTGGAGGAATTCTTAGGTTCTTGGCTGCCCCTTCCTGGGTGGCGTTTCTATCACACTCATCTGGAGGGCCAAAGCGAATTGTGGTTCAAATGCCAGAGACTCAACTGTTCTTATTGAGTAGATATTATTGAATGGCTCTTCATTTGCTATATGTCCTAAGGGCTTTCCAGAGCCTTTAAATAATTAGATTTAAAATTTTTTATTTTTTTCATTATGCTGCGAGAGGGTCCACAGAACTTTAATTCCAAAATGGTGTTTTTCTTTTGATGCTGGGGTGAATAGTTTTCTTAATTTCAGTTTCAGGTTTTTCATTGCTAGTATATAACAATATAGCTAGTTCTTATATATTGATCTTGTATCTTCTGATCTTGCTATTAGTTCTAGTAGTTTTTTTCCCTTACACTTTTTAAGAATTTCTACAAACAAGACCATAGTATACATAAATACAGGTATCCTCTTTCTCTGTAATCTTTGTTCCTTTAACTTTATTTCTGGCTTTGCACCTGTTAGGTATTCCAGGACAGTTTGGCATAGCAGTACTGGAAGGGCACGCCCTTATTTCCCTTCCTCAGGAGAATGCATTCAGTCTTCTTATACCGCAAAGTTGGATATTACCTATAGGCTTTGAAATTGTTTCCTTCTCGATTTAATTTAATGAGAAATACCAAGAACGCATGTTGGATTTCCCTCACGTTTTGTTTTCTATCTGGTGATCATTCTGTGGTCCTTTAGCCTTTTAATATGTCTTAACATTGATTTTCAAATGTTACATCCTCTCCTGCCTCCTTGGACAAGTTCCAGGTCCTTGTAGTGTACAGACTACACTTCTTATGCATTGCTGTATCACCGATCAATGTTTTTTAAGATTTTATGTCTGTGAGGGTCATTCATTTGTTGGTTGTTGGTTTGCTTGTTTTTTCCCTCATAGTCCACCCAAACCTGCTTCTCCAGGGTTTTTTCTTTACAGTTTTTTTGAAGTGTAAGATAGTTAAAGTGTACATCACTGCATCTTGACACAAGTATACAATGTGAACGTTTTCACACCATATTTTTTCATGATGTCTTTGTCTAACCTTGGTGAAGTTATTTGTAATGTAGTTCCTCCTCTCATTGGTGTCACTGCTTCTTTAAGTATATGTTACAATTCCAGCAGTGAAGCTGTCTGAGCCGATGACTCTTCTTATGGGAGTATTTTTACTGCTTCAATTTCTTTACTTGATAGAGGCCTATTCAGATTTTCTCTTTGTTTCTTCTTGAGTCTAGCTTGGCAGGTGTGTATTGCTAGGAGTTTTCCGTTTCAGATAAGTTATTTAATCTGTTGGCATAAGTAGTTGATACGATTCCCTTGTAGCTTTTCAAATCTCAGGTATGTTTGTAGTCCTTTTGGGGGAAGGGTCTGTTTGGGTTTTTGGTTGGTTTGTTTTTTTCTCTTGTTAATTTCTGTCTTCATTTTTTCTTAGTCCTACTTTGGTTTTATCAACTTTCTTGATCTTGTCAAAGAACCAGCATTTGTTTCTGTTTATTTTCTCTTTGGTTTTCTCATTTTTTATTTCATTGATTTCTGCTTCCAATTTTTTTTTAATGTTTGATTTGGATACACTTTTCTCTTTCTAGTTTTTTGAAGTTGAAACTTAGATTATTGGTTTTAGATCATTTTTCCTTTGTATTTAAAACGATAAATTTAAAACTATAAACCTTATATCTAAAACTATTTAAAACTATAAATCTCATATTTCAAAAACTAGTCCACACATACACAAGTTAGAACTTAAAAATTCAGGAGATGTGCAGAATACAGAATCAACATACAGAAATCAGTTGTGTTTCCATAGATCAACAATGAACAATTCAAAAGGGAAGTTCAAACTATTTCATTTATGATGGCACAAGAAAGGTAAAATACTTAGAAATAAACCTAAGCAAGTTGGCAAGAGATTGTACACTGCAGTTACAAATGTTACTGAAAGAAATGGAAGAAGTTGAACCATTAAATGGAAAGACATCCTACGTTTGTGAATTGGGAGACAAGATGTCAGTACTACCCAAATCTACAGATTCAGTGTGGTCCAACAATGTTTTTAATGCAGAAATAGGCAAAACACATTCTGAAATTCACATGGAATTTCCAGGTACCTCAAATAGCCAAAACAGTGTTTAAACAGAAAAGGTTGGAGGTCTCACACTTCTTGATGTCAAAACTTACTCAAAACTCCAGTAATCAAAACAGTGTGGTGTTGGCATTAAGACAGACATGTAGAGGAAGGGGCTGAGATAAATCTGCAGGCACACCCAGTGGCCAGAGAGTTTGGGGGAGGGTGCTGTGACCTCAGCCATAGTCTCATGTAGGGCCTGGCAGTTAGAAACACCAGGAGAGTTAGAAACGTGGCAGGGGGTGAAGGGGGGTGCCTTCTACAGCTGAGCCCCAGTCAGTACCACATCCGGTCTGGGGTGCCCTCCTTGGGCCTCCCACTCGGCCTGGAGTAGTCCACCCCTTAGGAGAGAAACTCCTTTGGGGAAGGCACATCCTAAATGTGGAGCCATCAAAATGTAGGGTTGGAGAGGGTTAACAAGCCTCCCTGTCTGGCCCAAGCCAGTCTCAACTTCTGGCAGATGAAAATTTACAGGTGGCACTTCCATTGCTTGGAACCTGTTTTGGGTTGAGTTGTATCACCCCTAAAATTTACATACTGAAGTTCTAACGGTCAGTATCTGAGAACATGATCTTATTTGGAAATAGGGGCACGGCAGATGTAATTAGTTAATGAAGTCATTGGAGTCAGCCCTCATCCATCATGATTGATGGTGGTGTAAAATGGGGAAATTTGGGCACAGACTCAACACAAGGAGAATGCCATATAAAGAAGGCAAAAGTCAGGGTGATGTTTCTATAAGTCAGGACACACCCAAGATTGCCAGCAAGCCACCAGAAGCCTCAGAAGAGAGACATGGGACAGATTCTCCCTGAAAGACCCAGAAAAAAAAACAAACCCTGCTCACCCCATGAGCTCGGACTTCTAAACTCCAGAACCATAAGACAGATTTCTGTTTGGGTGGCCCAGCTTGGAGTATTCTGTCACAGCGGCCCGAGCAAACTAATAGAGAACTCACAGGACTGCGTCCTGGCTCCAGATGCCCTCCACAGGGTATTTAGAAAATATTTTGCAAGATGCTTCAAACGAATGTTAACTCATGTGGGACGAAGACCCCATCTAGGGCATCCTCCCAGGCCTTCCTGGCCAGACTTGGCCTGTGCCCCAGCCACAAAGGCAATTTAGAAAAGTTTTCAGGAAGCTCCTCAGATGACCAAGCTTCATGCAGGATAGCAGCTTGGCCCAGTGAGTTCTCCCAGGGTATCCCCAGCAGGCCCAGGCTGCTGAAGGGGACTTAGAAAAATTTGAAACATCCTAAAAGTGGGCCCCACGTGGGACCGCACATGGGTTGGGGTCCACATCGTGGGCTTCCCTGTCCAACCCGGGACAGTTACAGCCTCCAAAAGAGGGACTCAGAATACTTTTGGGAGGCACTCTCTGTGACCCTCCTGACCCATGGTGGACTGAGGCCTGGCCCAGGGTGCCCTCTGCAAGCCTAGCAGACTGACCAGGAATTGGAAATGTCTTTATGAGCTGAATCAGGTGACTAGGGCCAACACAGACCAACATCCCCACTGATGGGGATTTGCAGACATTTGAGGGGCACCTCCAATAAGCCCTTAATCACAGCCATGTCTGGGGTGCCCTCACAATGTGTCCCCAATTGGCCCAGGGCAGTGCCTCCCTCCCTGGAGGGAGGTTTGGAAACATGTCTGGGAGGTGCATGTGCTACCATTGGAACACCTACGTAACCCACTGGAACACGATGGCCAAACCCGTGTGCCTCCCCGTCATCACTGGTATCCGACAAGCTGGTTCTCTGTGACCATGAAGGCTGGGGGACTCGGGGCTCCCCCTTCCAGAGGAACACTTGGCAAAACTTCCGGAAAGCACACCCACATTTTGGTTGGGGTGCCTTTCTTCAGTCTATTTCTGACTGGCTGGTCCCTACATCCCCGGAAGGATACTGGCGAGGTGCATTCATCCAATAGGCTGCACCTGTGACGACAGCCGGAGGTGGCCCTCACAAGCCCACACTACTAAGCCCTTCTTGAGGGGAACCTGGAAACATTTTCAAGGGATGACTATAACAACCAGAACCACATATCACAACTGCAGTAGGATCATTCTCACCAGTCTCAGGGCCAGCCAGACCCTGGGTTAGTCGTAGCCTGTATAGAGGGACTTGGAAATGTCTTTGGGGGGTGTTTTCAACTACGAGGCCCAATCCAGGCTGTGGCAGGGCCAGGGGACCCTCCCACAGCAGTTGGGAGGCCTCTGGCTGGCTTGTTGCTACAGAGACTTAGAAAATTTTTCAGGAGGCACACCCAGCGAACAGGTCCCACATGGGACAGCAACCCTTCTGGTGTAGGGAGCGAGGGAGCGGACGTGGGGCCTTCCTCCCTCAGGAAGTATTTTTAGGAGGTTCAGGCGAGGACTGGATCTCACCGAGGACATATGCTTGCCTGCCAGACTGCTCAGGCCTTATTTGCAGCCCCCTGAGGATCGAGCCTCCTAAGGGAGACAGAAACCTCTGGAAGGCCCTCTCTGGTCAGAGCTCTCTGACTGGCCAGGGCCAACGCCCCCACGCTCACCCTAGGAAGAATTGGAACCTACATCTCCAGGAGGTGCTTCAGATGACCCAGTGCTGACGGGACCACGACCAGGTCCACCGTGCCCAGCCCTGGACCCCTCTGTTTGGCCCAGGACGGGCCCCACAGCAGCTAGAGGTAGCCTGCTGCTGGTCCCAGGCACCATCGACGGAACTCCCTGAATGTCCTGGAGCTGATCTCAGAGTCACACTCCAAAGTACAACTTAGACGTTTTGCAGTAGGCAACCCCAGTGACGTGTGGGACTGTAGCCAAGCCAGGGGCACCCTTCCGGGGCCTCCCTGGCCATCCCAGTCTCTCCCTCCCATGAGGGCGTAAGAATGGTTTTCAGGAGCACGTTTGGCAACCCAGCTCTACATGGAACTGTGCTCAGGCCCAGGACACCTTCCACGTTGGCCCCCAGCCCACGTGGCTGTTGCCTCCCTCTAGACAGGGAGTTGAAAAGGCTTTCAAAGGCATGTATAATGAATAGGTCCCACATATGACTGCGGCTGGGCCCAGAACACACTCCCTCGGCCTCCCTGGATGCCTGCAGCTGGTTGCTGCCTCCAGAGGGAAACAGAAAAAGATGGGGAGTGGAGTGGGGAGTGCATCCAGCAACTGGAGTTCAGTCCTAGCCTCCTCAAAAGGTCATAGAAGCTTTTCAGAAGGTGCTCCCATGACT